CTGTCTACTACCCTATCATGATCACATAGCATGGATTAGACGGTCAGAGTAGTCTAAATACGCCTCAGAAAAGGGGAAATATGTGGGCACTCAGACATGTTGCTATAGTATCACAGGGCTGTGTTGCAAGGCTGTGCTGATTAGTAAGCTTGCTGCGGATATTAGTAAGCATGCTGCGGCGCAGCAGGCGCTTAGTAAGCCTGTGATCTGATTGGATGGAGTGGTATTGGCCAAATTAGCATAAAAGGAGGGCATATGAGCCCTTCGAAGCAATCAATTCACTTTTACCCAGAATTCACTTTCACCCAGAATCAAAGATCGATCACAGGAGACTGTAGATCAGTCTCTATTAGTATTAAGCAGCAAGAGCAAGATTAAGAAGACATTTGAGTGTTGACTTAGGCAATAGATCTAAGTATCACTCCAGGACATACGATATAGGAAATAGGATACGTTAAAGCGACAAGACGCTTTTGAGTGTTGACTTAGGCAATAGATCTAAGTATCACTCCAGGACATACGACATAGGAATTAGGAAGATATTTGAGTGTTGACTTAGGCAATAGATCTAAGTATCACTCCAGGACATACGACATAGGAATTAGGATACGCCGAAGCGACAAGACGCTTCCAGAAGATAGGAAATAGGATATATTGAAGCGACAAGACGCTTCCAGAAGACCGACGACATACTCAGTAACTTCCCTATAAGCGTGGGAACAGATTTCCGGTACAGACATAAGGACAGAGCGTAGTTCTCTGTTTAAGTGAATACATTCAAGCGGCCCATTTCTTTCTCCTGATTCAACTAGGTCATCCCCGACTTAGATAGACCGGGACCCTAGGCAACTGTGTGACTATATACTAGCACTACAGTTCGCGCGACACCGTGTCCAATTCACAGTAGTTAAGGTACACGATGTCTACGCTACGGGTCGCCGGACGCTCCACCATCTCCACTTCCCTCTCGCCTCGCCCCTTACACCACCTCGTCGTCATGTCCCTCGTCCTCCTCCATCCTCGTCACCTCTCTCCCGACCTCCTCCATCTCCTCGGTCGCTCCAGACCCTCCCTCTTGAATCGAAGGCGTAGTCGGCGGGGCCGACGGGCCCGACGCACTGCCCCAACCGAAGGCCGACGGACCTCCCGACGCTGCCGGAGCCTCCGTGGAGAGGCCGAATGAGCCGCTGGCGTGCACCGCACGCACGAGCTCTCGAACCTCGCGCATAGCGGCGCCGAACTCGCCCATTGCCTCAGCGACGACCGCGAGCGTCGCCTGGACGCCGTCCGCGGCGGAGCCTCCGCGGGTGTGACTGCATGGCTGCCGGCGTGTCGCGCAGCCGACGCAGGCGGTTGCGGCCCTCGAGCACTGCTTCAGGCAGACCTGCCCGGACGCCAGGCAGGTCACGCAAGGCGTCGGGAACGCCTCGGGCGGGTCCTCCCCGGACTATCAACATCGTCAGCAGGGTGGAGTGCGATGGCCACTGACTCACCTTCGCGCGCTTCGACGCCTGCGTCGAGGTCGGGGACTCCGCGTGTTGGCGCTTGCGCTCCAGGGGCGGTACCACGACCTCCAAGGTGTTCCGGGAGCCGCCGCGGCCCTTCGACGATGCAGCGGCCTCCTGCCGACCACGACCCGCTACCCCGTTCGCCTTTGCCGCCGCTACCGCCTTCGCTTCCGCCTCCTTCGCCTTCGCCTCCGCCGCCTTCGCCTCCGCTTTCGCTGTCGCCGCGTCTGCCTTTGCCTGCGCCGCCTTCAGAGTCGCCTGCGCCGCCTCCAGCGCGGCGATCGGATCCTCCTCGCTGCCGTCGCTGCTCCTCTCCTCGGACGATCCGCGTTCGATGGGGACGGGGCGGGCCTGAGATCAAGTTCTCTTAGACATGGTAGGTGCTGGGGGAACTCGGTTGGGGTGGGAATTCCGACCCGTCGAGGCGCCGGGTCTTGAAGGGGGGGTGATGTCAGGGCACGGCTCCCACACTCGCCTCATGTCTCATTGTTCTCTTTTTCTGCTTCCGCTTCTGTCCCATTTCGTTCATTTCCCCTAATACTTC